GGCTGGGTGGACCCTGCTGTTTTGGGAGCCTGCTGGGATTCCCCTGGGTCCTACTGGGGACCTGTCATTTTTGACAGAAACCAAGAGCAGACAAATATTAATTTTCTAAATTTTGTAGGGGCCATACATTTGTAGAATGGCCTTGCAGGTCAGGTCCAGCCCATGGGCCATATTTTGCCCACCCCTGGGTAAGACTCTTATCCCCAATTTACAGATAGGGAACTAGACCACAGAAGCTAAAGCCCCCAAATCCCATTTTGCCTTTAAAGTGCCTATGTGATACTTGTGTGCCTAAATGCAATCATATTTCTGTTGTACTCAAGTCCCCGGAGAACTGTTTGTACAAAAAAATGGTTGTTTTCTCTGCCTCTTCACTGCTCGGTTGTGTAACTTAGTCTGGAGGACAGAGTGAACTCGTTTTACAAGAGTTGTCACGATAACAGATTTCAGAGGTTCCAGCCTGATGCAACAGCCGCCTTGGAGGTAAAACTGAATTTGGGGCAGAGTTCTTCCTTCAATGACTATTCTCCCTGACTAATGCTACAGCTTGTTTTCTTACGTAAGCGTGCCATTCTCAGATCATGGGGCTGGAAAATGCCTTTTGGATTGTGTAGTCCAACCCACCTGTATCAAGGAGAGAACTAATTTGCCACAAACTTATCTAACCTTGTCAGAAACGTGTCTACTTGTGTTATTATTTTATGGAATTTGCTCTTAACAGACACTAACCTGGGATTGACTTGTATCCAAAGGTCACAATAAAAGCCTGAGGAAAGCAAGGAGCAATACAGCTCTTCCTGAGATAAGGTCAGATGCTGTCACTCTCACACATCAATCAATTCATCAGTCACCATAGCAATGTCCTTGGAAACACCCATGATTGATACTCCTAATACATATAACAAAAGGTTTTGCAGGGAATCAGTAAGGTCTTTTAAAGGGGGGAAAAAAAGGCCATCTCTAACAAATTAAGAACAAAATTGCACTTGCTTCAGTGTTTTAGTCTGATCAAAATATAGGAATCAGCTGTCCTTTTTGCTGTTATGGAAATTGCAATCATCATGTGAAATCGCCAACTTTTGCATGTAATAATGACCTGTTGCCGAGTGTCTGCGTGGAAAAGAAGCTCCCTCCATAAACACCCAAATACAAGAATACTTGTCTTGACAGCAGTGGTCTTCATCCTTTTCAGACTCAAGGAACCCCTCAGAAAATGCCAGTTCTTAGCCTTCGTTTGATGTTTGACTGGGACAATAATAAAGCGATTCTTCTGCTGCAAAGCACTCAGAAAGCCCCCAGCGGGTCAGAATGTTTTTGACGCTATTCCTATTTGAACTCCCTGCATTTACCTTGTGAATCATGTCCACACACCTAACATGTTGATTTTCACCATTTAAGTCATTCCAAAGCCATCACTGAATGCATATGGGCACCCCATGGCACCCTTGAAAGGATCTCAAGAAGATCCCGCTAGTTGAGACTCGCGGCCGTAGCGAAATTTCTGTGGCATTGTGGGGGAAGGGGTTTGGGATGGCTATGGTGAAGTTCCCTCAAGCTTTGCCCAGAAACCCCAATTTTTTTTTGCAGAGTCTCAGGACAATGCATTATTTCTGAACACTGCCAGCCCTGAAGAAGCAAACGGCCTGGCATTTAAATTGCCTAAAATGGCAGTTCACATTGTGTCCAGGTGTCCTCGCATTTTAACGGCTGTAAATCATGAGCAGCTTCATTGAAATTATACCAGGAAGTGGAAGGAAATGAAGAATCGCTGTTTCAGTTCCTCTGCCTGCAGACTCGAGAGATCACCCATCAGCACTCAGGAGATTAGTGCTATATTTTCTTCAGCAGAATGAGGACATTTTTCTTTTAAAATGAAAGTTTAAATTCTGAATCAACTGATGGGTCCATTACACCCGTGGTGATGTGATGTACTGCTGTTTATCCTAACATCTGGTCTGTCCGACTCTGCCAATCGATTTGGGATTTTTAGTTTTTTTCAATAGTCATGCTATTTTATTGCCACTTTATGTATATGACTTTCTTTTAAGGAGGCCCAGCAGGACTTGGACATGGATGGTTACTAAATACATATTATTCTTCAGTGTTTAAAATGACTGTATTAATATTGCTACAATAAAAGAAACAATGGCGGCCTGAGATCAAAATTGTTGACCGTTTTTTCATTGACACGTGTACAACTTTATAGTCTTATTTTTTTAGTGCAGGAAAGGCATTTCCAAAGGCTCTGTAACTTCTGTACTTTACTTAAAGCGCCTTAGGTACAGAGCCTTAAAACGTTCCCCTTCTTACTACCTGTTCGGTGCCTTGCTGTAGTTCTGCAGAGGAGGCGGCAGGGGGTGCTGGATGCTGCACAATGCAGCTAATTACCATTTTGAAAAGCCCCAGTCAAATACATGTGTAATAAAGATGAACTAGGCAGGCTGCGACGCACCACCACAGTTCGGCTTGCATTTAAAACACATAAAACAAGGTTTCATAGTTGGTAGGGTCGGAAGGGACCTGAGCAGATCATCAAGTCCGACCCCCTGCTATGGGCAGGAAAGAAAGAAAGCTGGTGTCAAACAACCCCAGCCAGGTGTTTAAATGAAGGCAACTTTGGTCCTTTTAAAAACAGTCAAAAGTTGCCCATGTGTATTAAGTGATGGCTTTAGAATGACTTAAATGCTGAAAATCAACATGTGTATAGATAAGCACCCTTAGAGATTAGGCTTATGTAACAAGAGATATAACATATACTGGCCCCTTTCCATTATTCTGGTTTCAACTCCACCCCTTTTGTAAGAAATAAAAGGGCAACCTGAGTCACCTTTAATCAATGCATGCAGACAAACAGATTGAAGTTGTGAAACATTCACTCACTGACCCAGGACACCTGTCAAGAGCACAGAAGAGACAAACAGAGCAAGACTAGACTAAAGGGAGGAAAGAAAGCAAGATGAATTTCCTTTCATATTTCTCCATTGAGACCTGGGCTCTGCTGATTGTCTTCCTAGGTCTCCTGTTACTGTAAGTATAAGTCTATTGACTATTTGTCTTCTTGTGCTGTTAAATCTCCTTCAAGATTTTGAGAGTGGTCAACAAGTATCTTAATTCTAGTGGTAATTCCACTGATGAAAGTAGTCTGCATTCTACATGCATAGCTCGCCGATCTCTGATGAGCTGAATTTCTGCTTGGAAGAGACAGTCATTTCATCCTTACTCTGCCCCAGGAAGATATGCAACATAATATTTTTATGAATTGCAGTGATAAGGTTACAAAGCATTGTAGCTATAACAAGACCATGGTTAGGAGACTCATACTGTTTCATGGAGTTCTAAGACCCGAAGGGACCATTCTGACCATCTAGCCTGACTTCACACATTACACAGACCAAAGAACTTCATGCTAATCATTTCTACATCAAATCCATAATTTCTGTCTAAACTCTAGCATACTTTTTGAAAGAAATCCAATCTTGACGTGTAGCTGTTGAAGAATCCACCACATATTTTGTCACTAGGTCTTTGCTCTTTAAAGTTTTTGCTTTATTTTTCTCTGTATTTTTTTTAAGCTTTATCTTCTAACAATCTAATTTCATGATGCCCTTTTCTGATGGGTTCATTAAACAGCTGTCTATTAAAGATCCGCCTCTTAAGCCGGGGTGGATCCAGGATTTCACAAAGGGGGTGCAGGAACAGCAACCAAAGCTGTACCCTTGGTCCTCCCCTTTCTCCCCTGCAATTGGGTGGACAAACTGTGGTGCGAAATAGTAGCTGGGGACTTTTTTAAATCCCAAAGAAGATAAGAATTCCTTCCTTTCCTTTCCCCCCTGTGCTCCCCTCCTTGTCACTCACCTCCCCATCCTCTCCTCCAACTGCTGCTGCTGGTGCACCCACTGTTCCAGGGGCAAGGGGAGACCAAGTCCTGCTCCAGCTGGACTGTGCAGGGACTGGACTCAGCCTGGGACGGCAGCAGGTTCTTCCACCCTGCCTGCTCCCCCCAGGTGTTCCCAGCCAGCTTGGGAGGGGAAACCTGTCTGCACCTGCAACTGCCACTGCCCTGAGCTAAACCCATCTCCTGCCCAGCCTGGCTGAAGCAGGACACAAAACACCTTCACCCCCGGGACAGTGGAAACACTGGCAGTGGCCGGCAGGAATGGGGAGGGAACAGGGAGGTCAGGGGACATGTGGGGAGAGGCATGGGGGGGGGCATTCTTATCTTCTTTGGGACTGGAAGAAGTCCCCAGCCGGTAATCCTGTGACTTGGTCAGAAAGGGAGGGAGGGGTGAAGCCACACCGCTTCACCCCTGCTGGATCCACTCCTGTTCTTAAAGCTTCTGGGAGATTATTACTACCTATTATTTGCATTCAAGTAATGTATCTGGCTCCCAGCTGAGATCACAGACTTGTTTTAAGCACTATAGAAACACGCAGTAAGAGGTAGTCCTGGTCTCTGGGACAATCCAGCAGCTGCCCTAGAAACAGAATACACGATAAACAGAACCGGTGTAAACTATGATAGATATCTAATGCATATTGCAAGGTATTATATGTACCCACTTCTGCCCGCACATGACCAAACAAAACAGCAAAAAGGAAAGGAAAGGAAAACAGCAGTAATGTGGTGATATTGCTTCCAGTTTGGAAGCTGTGCAGAGTGGAAGCAGAATGTCTTAGCATAGCATTCTTGTGCACCGTAGAGATTACCCTATAAACATTAGTTGCAGATTGCAGATATTTAGGTGAAGAGCTTAATGATTAATGTGGTCAAGAGCATGTTGCACCAGAGTTTATTGCTCCCAGGCATGGTTTTTACACGTGCATCTGGGATCACAGCACGTTGAACCAGGTCAGAGCAGCTCCAACTGGCGGGGGCCCAGGGGCTCAGCCTGCCAGCCCAGGGCTGCTCCAACCTGGCTTAATGTGCTGCGGAGGGGCTGGCTGGGGCATGAGGGTGCTTCAGTGTGGGGCTAGTCAGCAGGCAGGGTGCAAGGAAGCACCCTGTGCCCCAGTCAGCTGGGTCAACATCTACATGTGCGCTGCTGCACATGAAAAAACTCTGCAGCAGGATAGTACTTGTATTTAGTACTTGTATTTACAAGTACTATCCTGCTGTGGAGTTAATTAGTTTCTTGTTGCCAAATAGGGCCGCACATGTAGATGCAAGATGTTTACTGCAGAGCTAATTAGTCTCTTCTGCAGTATGCGTCTTGTGTAGACATCCCCTGAATGGCTTAAATTGAGGAGGACAGTGCCACTGAAGACCCCTTGTAGCTATGCTCTGCTTATTACTTTGAGGCCGTTGGTGATCCAAACTTTGATATCTTAACCCTTTGCCCATCAACAAATTGTCCATCTTTGTAACTGCACTCCATGGCTATTCAAAGCTTTACTGTGACAACCGTGATAGGAGATGAATCTCATCTCTGGAAACACCTTCTACTACTATCTCAGCTGAAAGAGAATCACAGCTTTCTGTAAGAGGTATACCGCAATGATGTACAACTGAACAGCGATGAAGGGCTGTGAAATGTGCAGACACTCGCTAGAAGAGCAGTGATATTCAACGTGGGAGCTGTGCACTCTGGGTTGCCTTAAGATCTTTCCAAGGGGTGCCTCATAATGTTAGCACTTTTAGGTGTGCAAACACAAATCACAAGATAAACCCAGGGATTACAAATAGGAAGCCATAGTGCTAAACCATCCTAACCTGCTGAGGTCTTTCTGAGTTCTTTGCAGCAGAAGAATAGCTCTGTTATTTTTCTGTAATAAAAAATGAGTGAAAGCTAAGAGCTGGCATATTCTGAGGGGTGGCTCAAGTCTAACAAGGGGTGCCTCAGGCCTAAAAAGGCTGAGAACCACACTGCAGGAGAGAGAGTTTAAAAAAGGTCCACAATTCATAAAAATTCATTGACATTTTTTATAAATTTTGACCAAACATTTGGAAACGCCAATGATGGAAAACTTGTCAAGATGAGGCTTCCTCTGCTAAAATGGGCTAAGGACTAGAAGAACAAATTACACCTGCCTTCATAGTTAAAGTTGGCTTTAAAGGTTGGTATCTTCAATGCTGACCATTTACACTGTGAACCCCTAGGCTGAGCTCCTGGCAAGAGTCCAGCCTGACCCCAGACTCTCCACTGAATTTCCAGGCATGAGGTTAATTTTGCCTTTATAGATTCATAGATGTAGGGTCGGAAGGGACCTTGTAGATCTTCTAGTCTGACCCCCTGCCCTGGGCAGGAGAGAAAACTGGGCTCAAATGACCTCGCACTTCATAACCTGCCCTGTTCTGCATGTATTTGGAACTTGTCTTGGTGGGCAGGCCTTGAGCAGAGGGCATTTTCCTAACAGAAATCCCACAATTATCTGTTTTTGTCTTCTGGCTCTTCTGCAACCACGTCTTCTCTCTGCTTACCATAACTATAGGCAAGCCCAGAAAAATAGATAAGTAGTCTTCAGACTGATTCCTGGAAGGGCTCTACAAGAGAACGCAGGATACATCTTAGTTCTATGCTAAATAAATAAGAAATATAATGTGCACAGCTTTGGTTGGGCTAGACATCTCCTGTGACTCCAGCTGGTAGAGAACAATCTCAAGGTTGATCCTAAATACCCTACAACACAGTCTTGCTGGAAGCCCCCTCAAGAACAACGCTTCTGGCTAATCTTTGATTTGTCTATAATAAAAATATTGAAGATTTGTCTTCATTTTTGTATCTCCCTACAACCTGAAGTTTGTAAGGACTAGTTTCTGTTGAGCGCCTGCTCTGCTATGAGACATTTTCATTTCAGGACTGCCCCTCTGAAGATCTGTGAGACAGGAATAATTGTCATATCTCTTCAATAGATTTAGAAAATATTTGGCTTAGGATCGTGCTTTCCACAGCGTGATCCCTGTCTTAATTTAATGGTTCTGCTGCCTATGAAAGCTTTGATGCCAAACAGCCACAGTAGGGCTACTATCACTGTTAGATGACCCTCAAACTCTTCTGTTTTACAGATATGGGATCTGGCCGTATGGTACATTTAAGAAACTGGGTATTCCTGGGCCAAAGCCTTTGCCTTTCTTTGGAACTGCCTTGAGTTATCGCAATGTGAGTAACTGGTGGCTTCTCTTTTTTCCCCAAATAAGTGTACAAATTACAACACCTAAATGCCTACACTGCAGGGATGGGCTATGTCCTAAGCAAGGTCTATTCTCATGTGTGAGGGCCAGACCTGGGCAGTGCAGAACCTTTGTATGGCAGACCATGAGCTTAATCAGGACAGCGCCTCTAAAGGACCTGGAGAGTCCTTAGTGATACCCAAAAAAAGGCAAACATAGATGTAGATGGCTTGCAGTCCTCATTTGCTCAGGTTTTGCAGTTTACAAGTCTACAAGTCTCTGTCAATACCTTAAGCTTAGGCATGATATCCATACACATCTACCTAATGGTAACAGTGGAAGGATCTTGTCCCCTACAAAGTCCTAAAGAATCACGTAAGCTTCAGAAGTGGCATATAAGAGATTTGCTCAGCCTTGTGGACAGCACTTTTCCATCTCAGCAGGTTTCCCAATTCCTCCCGGTATATGCCAGTTAAAGCAGCACACAGTGCTCTCTCAAAAAAGCAGTGTGCTGTCCCTTGTGATAATTTACTGTAACTGAAAAGTTTTTATCTATGTATTTGTTTCCAATAATTAAACCATTTTGGCAGCCGTTAGATTATTCAAGGCCCCTAAGGGAGTCCAAAGGAGTATTTCCCTCCTTTAGCTCATGACTTGATACACGAGTAGTCAACAAACAGGTAGATATATCAAGTGACATCCCTCAGTTGTTGACCCAAGCTATGTATACAGTTTAAAAGTATCACAATAAAGAACATACACCCAAATATGCTCACGTATCATTATGTGCACTTCCAATTGCATTATATGCACCTCCAATTGAAGCCAATGTGAATGTCTGTGCGAGGACAGCATTTGTCCACATACAGAAACTCAAGGGTTTTAGGTCGTTCCTGCCAAGTAGGTGCTGACATTGTTGCTATCAGAATACTTGCATTCAACTTTTAATTCCATTATAAATTCCCTTCTACAGGGTTTTATGGACTTCGACAATGAGTGTTTTCAGAAATATGGGAATACGTGGGGGTAAGTATTTTCAGCAGGCAATTCTCCTTATTGTAGAGTTGTTAGGGTTCATCCAAAATTGAAATCTGTTGATGGAAAAAATAAATCGATCAGAAGCTGAAGTCTTAGGGCATTTTTACATGTGCTGTGGGATGCGGTGTTGGGCACTTTAATTAGCGAGCCATTCTAATTAAAAGAGCCCGCGCATCATGTGTATCAGTGTTGCCGTGCATCCCCGCACTGACAAAATGGTGGCAGGGCATTTTGAACTAAAGCTCATTGAATGTGCTTTATTTCCAAGTGCCCTGCTGCCATTTTTTCAGCTCAGAGACATGCGGCGACACTGATCCACGTGACACACAAGGCTGTTGGAGCGTGTCCATTTTTGTACTCCCCCGCAGACTCAATTAATTGAGCCTGCTCTGACGTACTGGATTTCCGGTGCACCAGATCAGGCTCCGCGCATGTGTATAGGAGCCCATAAAGTCTGTGTAATTATAATTTAGGTTCTCCATATGCTTTTTTCTACATTATAACCAGACGGGTCAAGGTGAAAGCTGTTTCCGTCTAAAGCCAAGTGACCAGCTCTGGTTTTCTCTAATGTCCATAACAAAAGTCCCACTAGCTTTAGTGGGAACAGGATCCAGCAGAATTAATTCAGGAATTCAGTTCTCTTGCTTAAAACCTGCACTAGAAGGAATGAACCAAAAGAGCAGCAACAATAGCACTGAGGATTTTCCATGCTACAGAAATATAGGTAGATGACAGAACAAGGAGCAGTGGTCCCAAGTTGCAGCAAAGGAAGTTGAGGCTGGATATTAGGAAACACCTTTGCACTAGGAGTGGGGCAAGGCACTGGATCAGGTTACCTAGAGAGGTGGTGGGATCTCCATCCCAAGAGGTTCTTAAAGCCCAGCTTGACAAAGCCCTGGCTGGGATGATCTACTTGGGGTTGGTCCTGCTTGGAGCAGGGGGCTGGACTAGATGTGACCTCCTGAATTCCCTTCCAACCCTCCTTTTCTATCATTCTATGATTAAAAGCTTCAAGTTCTACCTTGCCGACATGGATATGGCTACATAGCACAATGCTGCACCATACTGAGAAACTCTAGTGATCTCTGAATGAACCAGCTCAGATACTGGAAGAAGGCTGGCTGCATTACTTGGCAGCCTACCCAGGCTATTATCCTCTGGGCACTATTTCTAGTGGAATACCACACTAATACACCTATCCTGTTTTGGGTCCAGAGATAGCTCAGGTGTCTCTATACAACAGTGCATTGTACCATGCAGTGTGACCTTGCCCTCATGAAAGGTAATACACTTGCACTACCACTTTTCTCATCTAGCACTGGATGTTCTCTACATCTTTTGTCTGTATAATTATAATTTGGACTCTCCACATGGAGCATTCCTTGCTTCTTTGAGTAATGTCATTGCAACATTGCTGAAGAAAGAGCTGAATTTCAGGCAAATATTTTTAGATACCCCTAGATTTTCTCTCCCTTTCTCACATTCTCCTGCCCATCACATTTTCTGCTCTATTACTCTTATATCTCTCCATCCATTAGTCTGTCTCCTACATCCCAGTCTCATTCTGCACTCCACACTGCTTTACATCCACCTTGTTCGCCCTACAGCAAGCTACGTGCCACTTCCCTACCCATTGTTTCATTATAATTTCTTGTACAGAACCAAGAAACTCAAAAAAGCCCTGCTCCCTGAGAGCAGCCTTTGGAAATGCTGAGAGATGGCAACAATATTTAGCAAGGAAAGCAATGTAAGGAGGTTGCAGCCAATATGTCTAAAAGCATCTTATAGTTTAAAACACACTGAGAGCAGTGAGAAATGCTGGGCTTTTTGAACATGGACAAAATTCGTGTCAGAAATCAGGACATCATGAGAAACTTAACAACAATACCTGGGCATTTCTTAGGAGTCTCACACTTGCAAAGAGCTTGGAAGGAATCTTTTTGATTTTTTTAATTGGGTTATAAGATAAGGGAATTGCCCTGTTGCCCGTGCTTTTTTTTTTCCTTTTTGATGAACTTTCCCATTTTTATTCCCATCACATTGTAGAGGTGCTTACTAATGACACTTGCTCAGATGCCTTTGTCGCAGAAAACCCGTATCATTTGTCTGTTTATGAAAAGACATTTTCATTACAAACCTAATACAGAAAACAGCATATTCTAGCTCCTAGTGGAGTGAAAAGGGATTGATTTATAAAGAGAGATTAAAAGGACTAAGTATGTATTCCTTGGCAAAATGAGGAATTGTAGAGAGCTATCTACATGCATTTGAGGGGTGTAAACATCAAGGAGACAGAAAAGATACTTAGAGTATTTGAAGGAAGCACATCTAGGAAGAATGGGATGAAATTAAATGAGCATCGTTAACTTAAAAACCATGTGCTCTCTGCAAATCTATTACCCACTGCTGTTACCAGTAGCTCTTTGATGACTCTAAATGAAGATTGCAGAGGGAAAAAAAATCTATTTTTCATTTTCAATTATTTGCCTTTACAATAAAAAATGTATGAGGATGCTTTGCAGGTATCAAAAAAAACTTGTTGCAGAAGAAAACTTCTATTTAACTCATTATTGTCTGTTCTATTGACCAGGGTGGGTGCAGAGTAATTGGTTATTCTTATCTTTTTTATAGGATTTATGATGGCCGGCAACCTGTGCTGGCCACAGTGGATCCTACAATCATTAAAACTGTGCTGGTGAAGGAGTGCTACACCACGTTTACTAACCGGCGGGTAGGGCTTCAATCTTGAATCCAGTTCATAAAGATGTAGACAAGTCTTATACCAAAAACACAAATGCTACAGGAAACACCTCTCAGAAGCATGCATTTGATATCTTCAATATATGCAGAATGAATGTACACCCGAGATTTAGCCAATTGCCCATTTTATTACACTGTACTCCTGAAGTAAAGCAACGTGTGTAGGGGTGAGACCTCAGTACCGGGTACTTCTGTTCTCACTGAAAGCTCTTTGAGTTCACTTCAGTAACTGTTTAACCTTATGCAACCTTTTCAGATAAAAAGGACCCAAAGAGCGATTCTGTTCTGCGTTACACTAATCAAAGAGAGCTGAATTTGACTTTTGCACATGGGTAGCACAAGGGCACATGTCTTTTACCATGTGTGCATGCATTTCTGCAAGTTTCTGCCAGTTTTTGTAGAGTTTATAAGCTTACAAAGTGAACAGGAGGTACAAGATCTCAGACATGCATGTGTTTGCATTTGACTAACAAGAAGTATCTCACAGAGGACAGTTAGTGTAGGGCAAATACTATTTAAAAAGTCATTAAGTATTTTCCACCAGTTTGCAAACATATATATATATATATATTTATACTTTACTGAAACTCACCATGACATAAAGAGAAATAGTGGGAGGGCAATGAATCACTTAATGAATTTCCATCCTCTCTAGAGGGACTGGGTACCCTGTTAATTTAAGTTATAAATTGGGTTTTGCCTTCCCCTCCAGAACTTTGGTCCAACAGGCGTGTTAGAGTCTGCTGTCTCCATAGCTGAGGATGAAGAATGGAAGAGGATTCGCACTGTGCTCTCTCCAACCTTCACCAGTGGGAAACTAAAGGAGGTAAAGCCCAGGGGGGTCAGTCATAAGCTAAACCACTGAGTCAGTGCACATGGGTTGAGATAGGATGACCTGGTCTCTTCCATCAGAATCAAATGATCAAATTGGCCTGTTTTACTTGTCCTCCATAATGGAAAGAATGAAAAGGTTTAAAAACAGTAGCACCCAAACTTCCAGCTCCATTATCCATCCTGGGGGGTCCCCGCAGGTCTGGAAATTTAGCAGCAAGGGAGTGGCTGCTCCCACCCCATCAAATATCCGGACCTTGGGGAACCCTGTAGGCTGATGACATAGCCATGGATCTGACCCACAGGCCCCAGGTTGAGCACCCCTGGTTGAAAACAAGAAGGCCCTGACAACAGGAAGGGATCGCATTTGCAAATGCCTGAGATTCTTCCTTGGGCTTTAATCAATAAGAAAAGATATTGTATAATAGTTGTATTTTAAGTTGACGAGGCTTGTTTGTGTTTCAGATGTTTCCCGTCATGAAGCATTATGGGGACATTTTGGTGAGAAACGTTCAAAAGCAAGTGGAAAAGAATGATGTCATAGGTGTGAAAGAGTGAGTAGCTTTCCCGGAAACAGTAGGGCTACTAAATTATTCTCAGGCCAGCCGAAGGACTGGGTGAAATTCAGAACATGGATCTAGGCAGAATATCAGGGAAACTTGCCTGAAAGTGAAGCCCGTGGATCCGCATGCAACGACAAGAGGTAGAACTCCTGTTGTTTGACTGTTTGAGAGCTAAAAAGATCAAAACACTAGAAACTCATCTTTAGAGACTATCGTCTTATACTCTATAGCAGGTCTGTCCAACTGGCAGCCTGTGGGTAACATGTGGCCCACAGTGGGGTAGCTCACCGCCCATCGGTTCTCCCCCTGGTGTTGCTTCCCCATCACTACTGAGCTCTCCAGGCTCCCTTTCCCTCCTCCAACCTCTGCTTCCTACCCCTGGGGACAGGGCAGTATGGGGTAGCCCAGAGGGGCCTGCAGCCTGTAGCCACTCGGAAGTAGGACAGTCCTACACTAGGGGAACAATCCTTCACTGGCAAGGTGAAGTAGATAATCTAGCAGACTTTTTCCACCTCCAGCTTCTCTAATTTACTGTAACCAAGTAACCAGTAAATTAGAGAACGAGTAACGAGTAAACGCAGGAGCAATGTAGCAGAGTTTCTATGAGAACTGAACTTGGGGTCAAATAGCACTTGTGATAGGATGTTCTAGGGAGGGACCGTGTCATCTTGCACGTCTGGAGAGCACCCTGAACATCATGCTAAAGCTATGTGATAATAACTATAAAGAAACTAATTGCCACCAAACATACCACAGTAGGTGCAGAACATTCCTGGTTCAAAACCACAGCTTTTACTACTTGAGCAGAAAGAGATGTTACTGACTCAGTATTAGGTTTAAAAGGCCACGGCCATTCGATGACAAGCTAATCACAGGCACATAAGCAGGACCAACCCCACTGGAAAAGACTTGCATGCGAGTCAACACATTACACCATATAATACCTAGAGAAACACCTCCAGCAATCTAGGCTGTGCAAAATCTGAATGAGGCTTTACAAAACAGAGATTCCTTCTCCACCGATGTGATACCATGGGTTGAATATCTTGCCCTGTTCAGCAAGAGGAAGAAAATTGACTTGCATATTATGTTTTATTCAAGGACACAACCTAGGAAGAAAGTAAAAGCTTCTAACCATTCATTTCATACTTCATTTCCCTAATCAGTGCCCTCTTTCCTGTCTTTTCCTAGGGTGTTTGGAGCTTACAGCATGGATGTGGTCACTAGCACTTCATTTGGCGTGAACACTGATTCCATGAACAATCCCAAAGATCCATTTGTCAAGGAAGCTAAGAAGCTCGTGAAGTTTGACTTTTTTTCCCCAGTCTTTGTTTTGCTATGTAAGTTGGCTTGAACTCACTGGAAATGCCAAAAGGATGAAATGGTACCAGATACTGCTCCTTTCTGCTTCTTGGATAATATCTCGGGAAACTAAACGCCCCAGCCTTAATGAGACTAGGATGGACTTACCCAGGCCAAATTCTGTGATCATTTTTATTGATAGTATATTTAGTGGCTGGATCATCTGTGGAAGTATTTTCTCTTTTGTGGTCTGTGGAGTAGAACTGGTATAAGTTAATGTTTGTCCCTTCTAACCTATAGCAGGTAGGAAGTATCAAAATGGATTTACCGGTTTTGATTAATATTTTCTGACATCTTAATACATCGAATTTTGTTGCGCGGGTACTGTGTCAGTTTTACAATGAATTTCTCTCTCCCTCAGATGTACTTCCATGCCTTAATCCTGTTATGAAGAAACTGGGTGTGAACATTTTCCCAAAAGATGCTCTGGAATTTTTTATGCAATCAGTCACCAAAATTAAGGAAGCACGCAAGGAGGAGGCTCGTGCGGTAAGGACTCACCCAGTGATAAAGCCAAAAGGATATTCTCTGCCTAGTTATCTTAAGTGCAAAAAAATGTAAGAAACAGTATTTAAAGAGGAACTAAATTCAAACAATTACTCATCTAAAAGCTAGGATTATTTAGAATTTGGCCTGAATTAAAGTCCTGGTAGAGGCACAGAAAATATTGCATTCAACAGTGACTTGGGTCTATACCAGAGTACCATGAGCCCCACAACCTCCACTCACTCTCCCAGCCCCCACCCTATGGCTGCCCCGCCCATCCCAGCTCCCGGCTCTTAAAAAAAAAAAAAACCACTCACCAGCTGCTGCCAGGTGGGAGAGGGGGACAATCCCCACTGCCCCCCATTGCCCTATGCTGCACGGGGGGAACTGCCATGAGCCCCCCAACTCCTCCCCCCTA